TGCTGTGGTGGAGAACTTGTGTAGGCTTTGGGGTCTGGAAGACCTGTGTTTGAAACTCATCTCAGTTCCTTTCTAGCTGTGTGGACTTGGTGCAGATTGCTTAATTTCTCCATTTCCTCATTTTTAAAATGAAGACAGTAATATCTACTCTGCAGAGTTGTAGTATCACAGATACTATTTGCAAAGCCCCTAGCTCAGTAATTGGCAGGAAGTAGGTGCTCAATATGTGGTAGCCCTTGCTAATGTTATCATATACTGTTGATTGTTACAGACTCTCACAGTAAAAGCCTTTACAGTGTAGGAGGGGAGGGAGAAGGAGCGGGGAGAGAGAGCTAACAGGAAAAGCGATGTGAACTCGCATCTCTCTTGGTTCTGCCCTGTGTGCCCCTCAGCAAGTCATCAGTATTTCCAGTGAAAGCCAGTAAGAACGTAATAAGACTTAATGTAACCAGAGGAAGCCTTAAGACATGGTGTTGTCAAAAAGATGTCTGTCTTCTCTTTCTATTTGCTGGTGAGTGTGAACCCCACTTTTATTAGCCCTACTCAGTGTCTGTGCCTTTGAATCCCCAGGTCTCCAGGATTTGGATTGTCACTGGTTGCTGAGACAACCAACGGCACCTTCCTCAGTGCTGAACTGGCCTCCAACCCTCAGGGCCAGGGAACAGCGGTGCTTCCAGAGGACCTCGGCAGGAACTGTGCCAGGCTGCTACTTGAAGAAATCTATAGGGTATGTCCTCAGCCTGCAAGTTCTGGCAGAGGAGTGACCAGGAAGCAGTTTGCTGTCTCACATTCTTATTCCTTGGCAACTTGCTTTTTCTTCCAGGGGCTTTAAGCCAAGGGGTTAACCTATTTTGACACATTCAGCAGTTTAGCATTAACTTATTTAATAGATTAGTTAAACTAGTCAGTGAGCAGAGATCCAGCCCCACTGTGTTAGGACAGTAAATTTTAACAGTGGACAGAGGAAAGAATTAGAGCTGAATCATAAAGGAGTGAGAAGATAAAAAAGAAAAAAAACAGATAAGGTAAGTGGCAACTGGCACACACCTTGACCAAAGAGGGTACTGTCTCTCAGCTCCCCTAGTTGCTGCCATGCGGGGATGGGGACTCATTGTTAGCAACTTTTCAATAGAGGCCAAAAATCTGGATTTGTATGCGACAGTTGATTCAGATATAAAATAATGTCAACAGGCTAAATGTTGCAACGTTTTTTGGAGCACAGAAGAATGTCTAGGAAAGGCCAGCCTGTGTCACAGCGTGGTGGGGTCTTTAGAAAGCGTGAGAACACGGGACAGAAGAAAGATGATACAGTGTTGAAGACAGACTTCAACTGGTTACCATTTTGTTTCTGCAGCCCTGTTGTGGGGCTCAACCCTCTGATGGGGTGCAGCTCAGACCAACGCGCGCTCTCCATTGCCACAG